GAAATGCAACTGAGTTCTTACTGCAAATGCAGCGTAGTTCTTAACTCCAGTCTCTCCCAGAAGTTTCCTCTGATGGGGCCCTCGACCTCCCGGCAGCACCTTGGGGCAATCTGAGCCCTGGATTTAGGACGAGCTCTGGATCTGACAAGGACACATCAGACTGAATCAGGATTGACCGCAAAGCCGACACCATGGAGAATTGCACCCAAAGCTGTTCAAGCAAATGGTGTTTCTGAATCGGCACCAGCCGGCTGCCCTGATGCTGAGGTTTGATCTGTTAGATCCAGAGCAGCCTGGTTTGCACTCATATCACCATGCTTAAAGAACAGTCACTTAATCTCACTTAGAAATGTTTACTTGCGAGGACCAGATGGCCCAGGGAGTTGGGCTAAACAAAGCATTTTACTTCTAGGTCACGCATTCTAATCCAGTCCAGGTTGGTGATAAATGAACATATTCACCTGATAGCCACTTTTGGCTTCATTTTTGGTGTTTTTCAGGCTGGTTTCCAAGGGGAGATGTCACACCACAAAATCTCCCTCTGTGCCCTGCCACAGTTGGTACTGATTTGACTGTCTCTGTGGAGAAGCCAAGGATCAAATGCTCCATGGCGCCAGACTGTTTTCTTTTGCAGCCTGCAGGTAAGGGGAAGTTGTCCTGGGTCTGGCTGTGTCATGCCTGCTCTGCGGATGGGCAGGATTTCAGTTTGCAAAGCTGCCAGTCCAACCCCCTCCACCAGCGTGAAATTCATTAAAAAAATAGGGAAATGTTTAATTGCAGTTGACATATAGGCACTCTCTGCTATGAACTTACACGCAACCACAGATAACAGCATCAAAATTAATGCCTGCTTCCCACTTGTCCTGCTATAAGCAATAAACGTTTGGCAAGTCAGTAAATAACAAAATTCTCATGTGGCCATCTACAGGTCACCGGGATACTTAAGAAGTTTGCGTTAATTATACCATGTTTGCCATCAAAGAGGGGATGTTAACCCTTTCGAGCTGTTGCAGGAAAGCAGCGGACTCGTTTGGAAGTAAGTAAAAGAAATCTCGTTGCTAAAAGTGCAACCTTTGCAAAATAAAAAAAAAAGAGAGAGGTGTTTGAGGCAAAACCCGCAGTAGACATCATGGAAAATACGCTACCTTTTCAGCTTTCCTTTTATTTATTTTGTATTTTGACATCAAACACTCCCTGTAACCTAATCTTCTTGGCTTTTGATGTGGCCGTGGAGACATGACAATTAAGCACGGCTTAAAACAATAATCCCAACAACGGGAACCAAAGGCAAGTAATGTCAGGGTTCCCCCCTCACAAAAAGCCTGTCCCCCAGTGTTTGGTGGTAGTGAAAGGACCGTAAATCCCAATTTGTTGCCTCGATATCTGCTCTGTGCTTACACTTTACGTTGAACTTTACATACTTGCTACGTTTCCGTTCCCTGCTGTTTGTTTTTCTTCTGCCATGCAAAATGTCTGGAGACAAACACGATACACACGTTGCAGAGAGATGGTTTGATCTTTCACAGATTAGTGCCACCTGACAAACGCGGGATTATTTGTTATCTGCGTTGCAGGAACCGCTGAAGACCCCGCTCAGAAGAGGCACGCTCCTCCGGCGCTGGGCGGCTGCAGCACCCCTCCCGACAAGCTGATGGATTATGGCCCTGATTCTGCGAGCGAATCGGACCGACCCGGCGAAATGCCTGCAGAGAGGCAGCACCAAGGTAGGCCCTCGTCAAAGTCCGAAAGGGTGTGTAATGTGCAACCAAAGCAAATAGCTTGATTATTCTAAATTATTGTAAAGGGATGTTGTTAGTTCTCCTGTTCTCTCCTCATCTCAGCTATTCAAATATGGAGGGAGAGTCGCCGAGTTTACTTATAACCCCGTTTTAAACCTGTCTGAAAATGACCATGTTTCTTTTTAAATGAAGCTTGCACGGTATGCTACAAACTGCCCTTTTTTTTTTTTTTTTTTTTTTATGGATGTTTGCACTAAGCCTCGCTAAACAAGTTAGAGAGATGATTAACTCGTCTGAAATGATGCGGGAAGGCCTCGTCCCGGTTGCGTGTACTTTCTTCAGCACATCTAGAGCTGCTGCGGCTCCTCGTCATTCACGAGCAGGGCTTGCAAACAGGGCTGGGGAGGAGGCTGCGCGGTTAAAGAGAAGCAGTGATAGAAAGGGCTGGAATTTGCACACACACGCTGAAAAAGGAACTCAGGTTATTTTTTTTCTTAATGAGTAAGGAGTTATCCCCAAGTTGGTTTCCACAGAAGTGAGATGCAACTCCCGGGGGGTCAAAGGAGGAAACCCAAAGTTCATTACCAGTTTTCTCGAAAATATTGTTTTAGTAGCAGCGGTACTCACCCCTGCACGCAGCGGGGGGACTTTGCAAGACTTTGCTTCACTTTGTAAGGCCCCAAGGAGTTCCTTGTGGGGGTCAGACCGTGCGATGAAAGCAGCCGCAAAGTTTCGGCCGTGTGAGAGCTGCCTGGTAAGCGCTCTTCTCCATCCTCACATGCCAGCCCGCCCGCCCGGCCCCTGCACCCACGGCTGCACCCTGTGTTCCTGGGACAGCGCTGAGCAGCTCGGGGCTGGCCGTCCCCCCATTGCTCCCTTCGCACCACCGGTGACGCCAAATGGTTAGGAGACAGGTTTCTAGGTTGACAGCGTTGCCTGTTGGAGCGGTGCAAGAACCTACGGAGAACTGCCAGGTCTAATACAGGCCCTGCCTTGAAACCCGTTAGGCAGCTGGCTGTTTTTCTGTCTTTACGGTGCTTTTAAAACTTGTTTTTAATTGAAAAGTATTTCTCCAAACGCCTCAAAAAAACAACCCAAAAACCAACAAAAAAGCCTGAAGAAAGCACAGTTCATCATCTGCAACGTGGCTGCTGCCTTAGATTTTAAACTGGTTTAGAAACTTTAGCGCACTTAACTGCATGACCTCGTCACCCCAAAACAACACCGGAGAATGAGCTTTTGTACCTGTGCTTTTTATACTAAATCATTCACCAACTACTTTTTTTGTCCTACCCTGGTAGGTTTTTGAAATATCAATAGCCCGCTCTGCATAAAGTTTAAGCTAATAATTCTACTGGCAACAATGACGACGATAATTTTTCCTCTCTCCCGATTAAAAGCAGCCTTTATGACATGAAGCTGGGCACAGGTACTTTGACAAAAAAGGTATTTTATTATTCTTAGCAATATTCACCTTGAAGGAATATGAGGAAAGCATACACTTTTTACAGACAATATATAAACATGTTGTACATAATTAACAATAACTTAGTTCACTAATCCAAAAATAAGCAAAATTAAAAAATTAAAATAAAACCAGAAAATACTGCAGAATTTTTTTATGCTGATACAAGTACAAAATAATTTAAATCTCGACTGCCGTTGTCTATGCTGCAGTGACTGACAATATATTGCACTTTGTCAACTGTATCAGTAATCCCTGTCTTCCACCCACGTCCCTTCCCCGCCCCCCCACCCAAATCCTACGGAAATTTGAGTTGGGTACAAATAATGTACAACTGTACCATTGTAAAAGGTAAAAAGTAATAAGGACCCAATTTTTTACCTCAGTAGATTAAAAATTCGTAAGATTTCTCCCAGCCAATTCAGTTTCCCGTTTATTTCCACTTCTTTACAAAGTGCACCTATATGCCTACACAGACCAGAAAAAGGAGGAAAGCAGGATTTTCATGGCTGCTTCGTTCTTAATTCAAAAGAAAGAAAAACCCCAACAACAAAAAAGTTAAAAATTAAAAAAAAAAAAAAAAAAAGCTTGTCACAGAGTTAAGCTTACGTGGTTTACATTATCAAACCCCTCTGTTCATTGGGGCATTTTCATCAGAAGTATAGCTAAATATGTACATTGTATGTTATACTGGAGCTTGTGCTCACGAGAGGCATCAGATCATAACAATCAATAGAACACACTTCACATTGGCAATAGCTTTGTTTTCGGTCATTTACGTACAATATGGTTTAGTAATGGGAGATTTAATTTTTTTTCTTTTTTTGGGTTTTTTTTTTTTTCATATAAAATATGCTATGGAAAACGGACGTTCCCCTTAGAACGATGCTTTCCCTCATCTTGTTAGCTGTCGCTGTGCCTGGGATTTGACGGATGTGTGAAGCTCAAACTGATTGTCTCTCTCTTTCCCCTCTCCAGTGATCCCAACCTCATTTCTGCCCTTCCTCCCTGTGAAGTCCATCGGGGCCTGGATGCCCAAGACAGCACGCGCGCTGGCTGGCTGCGTGTGGACATGGTGGCCACGCTGCCGTAAGTTTACCCAAGCAGCTAATCTGCATTTTTAAGCGACAGCTGCCAACACAACAGAACAAAATGCTTCAACCTCTAAAGTCTGCGCGTTGGATGTTTTTATGCCCTGTGATGGTTTTTGCTGTGCTAGAAGTTAGCTGCGACACAGTTTGGTACATGCCTGTATCTCACCCCTCGCTAGTGCAGGATTGCCTTCCCCGAGAGTTTTTTCCTAACAGTTTGTCTGATCTAGCTGTCTGTTTTGAGGAATAATAGGGTGGTTGGGAGCGGGGCTGGTTTGGTTTTTGTTTTGTTTTTGTTTTTGTTTTTTTTTAAAGAAGCCTTTCCTGTTAGGGAAAAGAATGAAGAAATTGTGTCAAAATAATCACCATCTTGGGCACATTAAAATCCCATATTACAGTTATGTTTTTGCTTTGCCCCCTGCCCCCCAGTCTTTTCCTAGTAGATGTTTTAATATGGAAGATAGACGGAGCTAATCCAAGGGGGCTGCTGAATATGTTCCCCCCTCTTCCCCTTGTTTTGAAGGCCGGTTTTCTTACAGGGTAGCCATTGCAAACAACAGCACAAAAACATGCAATCAGAGGGGTTGAGGCTTTTCGTGGAAAACAAGAGCAAAATAAATATGACTTTGTGTCTGATTTCATTTTAAAAATTATGTTTTTATAAAGATGTCCTTTGCTTTTTTTCTTTTCTTTTCTTTTTTTTCCTTTTTTCCCCATCCCAAACAAAGTCCGCAATAGAAATCCAGCATGTCTGGCTTCCAGTGAGCCAATTCCATCCTGGGAGGCTGCTTATATCTCTTTACAATATTCACAGTAATAACAAAGAGAGAAAGGAAAGCCAGTTCCAAGCCTTTTCCTTCAGCTTCTGCCACCTTTTGCTTCCTGCTGGACCATTAAGTATCAAACAGGTGAGCTCTTTTTCCTTATACCTGAGGGGGCAAAGTGCATTACAGGCACCACTACACGTTTCTGCAGAAGACCCATCATTTGCAAGGTTTTAGTCCAGCATTAAGAGTTAAACCACATGGGAGCAAAGATCCCCTTTGCCATCCCTACATTCTCCTCTTGGCAGAACATTTTCTTACTTGGTGTCGTCTTAGGCAAAGCCCCATGTTCTTAATCTCTGGGTGGGTCTTTTGGTCATCGGGTTTTATCCCATGGCCGTAACCATGCTGGATGGGTGCGGATGTCCAAATGAGATGCTGGAAGATGGGTGGATGGGGGTAGGTGTTGGTAGGATGTGTCCAGAGTGGCTGAAGGGTGGCAAATGCCCCATGGGCGCCATGTGACTAGCAAGGGCAGCAGCGCTGAAGGGAGACGATTTCTCCTGCATGCACTTGGACAGTTCCTCAAAACACTCGGAGCCTTTCTTGCTTTTCTTTGATTTGTTGGACATTTTCCTATTCCTGGTCTGAATTCCTTCCTTTTTCATGGTCAGAGGCCTGTTCACCTGCAAGAAATGAGAAAATCAGGCTCATGCAGACAAAATGACCTTATTGTGCAAAAATGAAAATATTTGGACAGCCCCCATGTGTTTTTCCTGGATGGAGACCTTTTTCTGGCCAAAAAAAATGGTGTTTCTCTCTGCAGAACTTGTTTATATTGATTTGTTTAATAAAACCACACACACAAAAAACCCCTAGACATGAAAAGCAAATTGAACTGAATTTGGCAGCTGATGACTCTCTTTCCCGTAGGCTTACCCTCAGTCCTCATTCATTTCCTAATAGAAGAGATCAAACTAGGAGGCACACGTTGACCCAAATTCAGTCCTAAGATATGAGCAATCTTGTACCGGTAACCTCTGTTACTTACAGTTTAAATAACGTTCCAACATGTCAAGTGATTCCTGCTTAGGATTAATTTATTTTTAAAAAAATATAATAAAACAAAGCCTCAGATGTGATTATTTTTAAAGAAAATCAAAATGAAGATGCCCCATCAGGATTAGTTTTTGCGCAGAGCCCATTCCAAATGGCCTCTGTGTTTCTGGAGGGAAACAGCACGCAAACCACGCTTAGTTAAAACCAAGTGTGGTAGCTCTATTTTGCCTGATTTGCCCAAGCGTTAGAAGCCAAGCTAATACATTGTAATGTCACTGAACTTAGCATCACTATGCCGACAAAGAATGGCTGTCACTTCCCAGGGGAACCTTAGAGACGGGGGAAGGAATAGAACAACAACCAAAACCCTGAAACCAATAAAAGCCTAGTGTACGCCATGCAGTTAAGACATCAATCCCGGCTAGGCAAGCAGCGACACATGAGATGAGTAAATACTCACATTGTGCAATTTATAGTAGAGTCCGCAGGCATTACAAACTGGGTCCCCGTTTGCATTACGTCGCCATAAGGTCGTGGTGGTTGTCTGACAGTTGGCACAACAAGTCCCTGCTCTCCTAGCCGCTGACTAACCAAAAGAAAAGGAAAATTAAAAATGTTACTGGCAGGAGGAGGGAGATCATGAGAAAGGTCAAGTTGGACTCAATATTTAGGTTGGGTAGAACAAATTACTGAGATTTTACAGAGCATCAGGGCTGAAGGAAAGCTCCTGTCAGTTTTACATTTTGTGGCCGTTAGGTTTTTGTTTAAATTCAAGTATCCTCCTATGCGGACTGCAGCTTCAAGCCCCGCGACACCGTGTGTGCAGGGGATGTAGAGAGAAACAAGGCATCTCTAACTCCACAAAGAAAAATTTTAGAGGGGAAAATGACATCTGATTTGTTCAGGTTTTCCCTCTGCAGGATTCTAGAAGGCGTTGTGAAAATGCATTTACCCTTTTTTTTATTTTTTTTTTAAATGACCAATTTAGTTTATGCCGATGTTGGGACTGGGTTTGAAAAGAGCGAATGATCTTAAAGAATGTGATTTTTACCCCTACTCTGGCCCTTTAAAGATGGACACAAAAGAAAACCAACCGCATTGCTTAACTGGGTGCAGTATTTATCAGAGCCATCACTGAAAATTCAGTTTCCATTTACAAGTGAAAGGGAGAAAACAAAACCGGCTCCAACTTTCTTTAAATATTTAGCAAACCAAATTTCATGCCTTGCAGCAATGATTCCGCTGACCCGTCTGCCGCCTCTGTCCCTACTCAGTTCCTTGGCTGACAAGCCCTCAAACAACTGTCTTAAAAAAAAAAAGGGAAAAGAAAAAAACCAAACCCCCAAATCCACCACCCTTTCTAAAACTATTGTTCTGCTGAAACCAAGGTGGGGGGGAAAGAAAAATGCCCAAACATTCACCCACCTCCCAAAACAAGAACAGGAAAAGTAGAACAGCAGGCAGGCAGTAATTTCTGGATGGGCCCTTGTCTAGCAGACCCCACAAGAATGCGTTCTTTGTGCAAGCATGCTGTCGTATAAAGCGTTATGGACGGACTAATTGCACCCCATATTTTGGAAAATAATTTTGTATTGGAAAGCTTCAGCTCTGCCTCTGGAAGCGGTCAAAATACAGTCCATTTTGTGCCATTGGGTTAATGCTGAGGACTCAATATTTTCTTTTCTTAAATCAGCAGAGTTTACTTTCTAATGCATATCGATCATGGTAATTTCCCCGGGGCCTGGCTCCTTGGATATTTTTGCAATTAGCCACCGGGAGCCATAGGGCGAAGCGGCAGCGAAGCTCACGTTAACGTGCAGGGCATCTCCGTGAGCAGAGAGCAGTCACGGAGCGGTGGGTTTCCCAGAGGAGAACTGTGGGCGCTTCCCAGCCTGCCGGCTCCGCTGGGGAGCTGGTGCCGCTGGGAGCACAGACCGACCCGGCTCGCAGAAGAGGAGCACCCGGGTTCTGTTCTCACTTGCTGCTGGTCTAGGCCACGGCCCTCTGTAACTTTCCCAGAGCTGATGGACGGCTCAGCAGCTTAAGGCAAGAATCGGCCCCTGGGAGACTCATATATTTCAGCCCTTAGTCGCCTGTGAGAACAGGCCAAAGGCAGAAAGAGGGGGTACCCCCTACTGCAAGTACACTCATGCAACCCAAACACAATTAATGCCAGACTTCCAAACACTGACACTATTAATACGATCGCTTTGCTATTGCATGTCAGGCGAACAAATTCCCAAAGATGGCCATCTCCTCTCCCCTGCAAACAAGCAAACTACAGTGGAAAAAGGGGCAATAAACAAAGCTGTAAATCAATTAAAACAAAACATTAAAACAACTAAACTAAAAGAAAACCTCTCTAGTGCCCCCCAAACCCCTGGCAGGGAGCTGAGTTTAAGTCTCCCAGCACACTGGAAGGTGGAGACCTATGTTTGCATACTTGAGATGGCTTACTGATATTCAACTGTGCTGCTTAACTCTATGGCCTGTCCCATTCAGACTGGAAAGCACTTGAGCCTGAGAGCCGATAATGTTACACTGTTGTCTTAACATTTTTCTATATGTCAGTCACTTTAGAAGGCAAGTCATTAAGAAGCTTGCATAGTTGAAATTCTGACTCAGGACAGAAATCTTCTGTATCCCATCCCAGTGCTGGAGCAGTAATGCCAATTTTCTGCTCTCCAAACCTCACTGAAACGTGCCCACGAATGGCTAAGAGACTTAGGCACCATAAATCACAAAGCTCCAAAAAATATATTTATTATTCTTAGCATTTTACACATTATTTGTGGAGTAGAGTGTATTAGAAATTTCAAAACAGCAAGCATGACTGGCAAGGCTCGCCTATAGAAACTCTCTAAAGCTTTTAGAGTCAGGAAACAGATACACAAAGTTTCCTTATCTTTAACGTACAGATATCCGGATAGGAAACTACTACCAGGAGCTTAGAAAGGACATTTTTTTTAAATCGCTCAAATGAAAATACAAAGTATAGGTGACTCCATGGAAAAATAATAGGATTTTTTTTTTAAAACAGTAGGGGATTGTCTGGGGAGGGAACCAATATTAATATTGCCAGAGAATATAAGAGTGAAAATTACTTCATGGCTTTTATACAAATAATTATTAAGTAGGGAGCAGTAGCTTTGACTCATCTGATTTGTTTTGCTTTTTGGAGCTGGAACTTTTTTTTAGTACACGGTGGAGGACATTCATGCTCATAACCCTTTCGCTCCCAGAATGCGCCCAAAACCTCCCAAGAGGCCAAATAAATGAGGAATTAAATTAAAAGCTGTCATCCGAGGATAAACGGGGAGACGGATACCCGATATCCCGCACGTATCACGAGCGGCAGGGAGGCCGGGGACAGGCGCGCTCGGCGGGCTGCGGCGGTCTGTGCCGGGGGGATCTGCCCGCAGGCACGGCAGTGACCTCGACGTGACTGACCCCCACGCGCAGCGCGGCCCGGCTCCGCGCAGGGGCTGAGCAGGGGTGGGAGGCATTGGACTTGTGCCTGCGTGTGGTCCCTTCGCCTAAGTTATCCCCAAACCCAGGAGAAACAGAGACACCTACCAGCCTTCGCTTAGGTTTAATGAGAGGTCGGTTTTGACCGTTCATTTTGTGGTAGAGCCCGCAGGCGTTACACAGGTAATGCCCGGTGCCGTCTCTTCTCCAGAGAGGGGTGGCAGTTGCTCCACAGTTCACACACTCTCTGCCTTCTAAATGGAAACACGAAGAAACCGGATTTCTTTCTTTAAAAACAAATTCACAAAAGCTTTTTGCATTGTCCTTTAGGCGTTTTCCAGAAGTCAAAACAGCGTGTTAATTCAAGCACAATCAGACAGCAGTGACATCTACAGCACATGCAGCAAGGAGCTCAGCGTTTCGCGAACGCCCAGACTCCAGCGAGTATTTTGTGTCATGATCAGAAACAGGCAGCTCTCTCTGCAAGGTGAGAAAGAGTGACACTCTTATTGTGCCAGATGGAAGTTATCGTTTCAGGAACGAGAACTCCCTTAATCTGCACCGCTCCCCTCCCGTATCTATTGCGCTCCGATGGTTAGACCCCGCGTTCTCCTGCCACAACTACACACGCACACGCATACACAAACACACGCACACCGGCAAACACGCAACGCGTTAGGGAGGGAGTCAGAGGAAGAGGTTTTCTAGAATTAAATCCGAGCAGAAAGACCTCCCGTTCGGTGCTTTCTTTTTTTGTTGCAAAGGCTACGGGATGAGAAAGTAAAGCTGAGCAGATTGGGAATGGATACAGAATGCCAAAGGCTCGGTTATGATTTTTGTTCTAAAGGCAGAAAAACGCTGTTAACACTGATCTTTGAGAAAGTTCAGTTTTAGCAAGCGCTCTGGAAATTACTGTAAAAAACAGGCTTTCGGTTCTTTGCCATTTCTGTGATTTTTCAACGCTACAGTTTGGATTTGGGAGGCAGCAGTTTACCTCATTACTGCTTCGTTGTTAGTTTTAGTAGCGCAACGTGGGAACCACGGCATTGCAGAATGGCTCTGTTAAACCCAGCCTGTAACTCCCAGATATCTGTTTCTGCCTCAGAAAGCTCTCTGCTAAAAGTTCATTTGCCTCTGATGGTTCGAGGGCAGGTCTGCTTAATATAGAAATCTCTCTTAATATAGTTTATGCAAATCCTACAGTATTTAAGCGGAGAGGAAATTCTTTTTGCTAATAACTGAAGCAGGCCATGTTGAGTTCAGCGGGGCTTGTGTCTCCTTTAATCTAGGGAGTGGGTGGCTTTTAAACAACACAGTCTACAGTGAAAAATGAGGGGAGCTCTGCGGCGCTGCATTTGTAGCTTTTGTCCCTCCTAGGGCAGGAAGCTGCAGGAGTCGTCGTGTCGTGAGCCTTAGTTTTCCTACAAAAACACTGAGTGGTCACGAACTTTCCCCAGTTCCTTGCGCAGGGGGCTCCCTTACAGAAAAAAAAAAAAAAAAAATGTAAAACAAAACAAAAAAGCTCCTTACTTCCCCCATCTAAAAATCACTGGCAACTACGGGACAAAAATCAAAAAGCTACTCGAGATCCCTTTATCTTCACAGGACCGGGTCTTGAATCTGCTTCCAACCTGGGGCTGCGAATTGCTTTTAATAACTGCTCTCTGCACTACTAAAAAATACATATACGTAGTAGCAACTGCATTTAAATGAGGGCAGAGGGAGAGTGTGTTTTTCCCCTCAGAGGAGCCATTTGAAACAGAGCTGATGAGCTTGTAAAATAGCTGAGCTTTTTGTTGCAAAACTCGTAAGAGATCACATTTCTAAATTATTGTCTACTTTAAAAATAAACGCATGTGGTGTATTCATAAGCGTAGATGTGCAATGATAGATAAGAATACACACACGAAAGCATATGTAGCCATTTATTTTTAAAGGGCTGTCTAAATTCAGTCCCAATATACGGTATTTCCATGGCTGAGGATGTTAAAGCAGGAAGGGTAGCAGAATTACGCAAATTGTCTTAATTTGTCTCTCTAGTTGTACAACTACTGTGATTTCAGAGTGGGATCAAAACTGTCCATCACCTAATTTGCTGACTTAGGACTGCGCTTTTAGGAAGAAATGCAAGGAAGGGTTGTGAACACGGGAAAGATCTGCAGCTGAAGCAGAGATGTCTGGTTCAGGGGGGGAAAAAAAGAAAAAGAGTATTTTTTAGTTAAAGTTAGGCTGGAGTAAGCTAGCAATGACTGGACACCTAAGTCTTTCACCCTGGTATGTAAACTATATTTGAACTTTTGCTCCTGTAAAACGTGAAGGAAATAAGGCCCTCTGCGATGTGAGGCGGACCGGCCGGGGAAGTTTCGCTTTCATCCTGCGCTGGGGCCTTGGTTCGTATTAATGAAGAGACGTGGAAATTATCGAGGGAGAAATCCCTATCGCGAGAGTCCCCAGGCGTAATCCCTGGCTGGGGGGG